TACACGCCCTTAATTAACCAAAAAAAAATTACATCTTTATTAATAACAAATTAATTATTAAACAAAAATATTAAATATAAACTAAGCAAACGTGCATTGCACATTGCTTGCACCTAGTATATATATGATGTGTTAAATGGGCAAACATGCTCATCACAAACAAGTCACATGCCGCAGCTCCACATTCCAAACTAGGGATGACAACGATGAGGATATGAGACAGATCGGTTATCTTCACCCCCACGTCATTGAGTTTTTTTTTTTACCTTGCCCCATTATCATACCCGATTAAAGCGGGATGTGACGGGATCAAGGTGGAGCAGGGCCCCTGCCCAATTTATTTTTTTATATCTTTAATTAGTAAATATTATTACTTTTTTTTTTTTTTACTAATTTGTTAAAAATAACTTATATTTTCTTTAAAAATGATGACAAATCTATTATTTATGCTTGATAAAAAACTTAAATTTGAAATTAACTTTGAAAGGGAATGATAGCGGGATGGGGACTATGTTTCTTGTACCCGGCCCATACCCGCTTCTGGGTAATGGCCTTTGCCCCGTCCTACCCCCGCCCCGTTTACCTGGTTAGACGGGTAATCTTCGTCCCAAATGGGGAGGGGTCCACTAGTATCGGGTTGAACGAATTTTTTTACCATCACTATTCCAAACAAGCCTCGTTAAGCTTCAATGCCGGTCTAAACCAAAATCGATTTATCACCTTACTTAACCTAATTTCACTCTATTAATGTCATAAGCTAATAATTAGTTTGCCTAATTGCAAAAAAAAATAAGCTCAAGATTTTTAGATATTTTACAAGAAGAGGAAATGGTCTCAATTGGTTACTTGAATTTTAATTCCCATTTGATCTTTCAATTATGAAGCCGCCGCCTCCTTCTTCTCCAAAAATTAAAGTCATTGTTTTCTAATTAAATTCCACCAATCATAGGTTGACACGTCCTAGTCAAAGTGTCACACAATGTGATAGAGAGTTGTAACGTTATTGACATTGACATGTCCAATTTCTTGTTCCTCATTCCACGTTGACCCTTCAACTTCCAATTTGAGTTCTAAGCCTCGTCAATTTATACAATGCAGGAATTTTTTACCCTACTAATAATTAGCCTCAATATCTTGTTTAGTAGGTAGAATTAGACAAAATTAAACACAAAAAATTCACACTATATAAAAGAGCTCTTCGCCTAGAAATTCTATGATTCTCTTTTCTCCTTTTCAACAAATTTTAAGGTGTTCAAAGTTGACTGACTCGACTCGACTCGACTCGACTCAAACCCATTTTAACTATAAAAAATTAAATAATTATATTAAAATAAAAGT